TTTTTTGGTCTTTTTGAGACAGGGTCTCCCTGTAGCCCCGGCTGTCCTGGAACTCACTATGTTGACCAGGCTGGCCTTGAACTCACAGAGATCCGCCTGCCTCTGCCTCCCAAGTGCTGGGACTACAGGCATGCGCCACCATGCCCAGCTTCAGACCCTAACTTTTTAAGGGAATCTTTTTTTTTTTTTCCGGAGCTGAGGACCGAACCAGGGCCTTGTACTTGCTAGGCAAGCACTCTACCACTGAGCTAAATCCCAAACCCCATTAAGGGAATCTTTTTTAAAAAATGTATTTGATCATATTTACTTCCCCTACCCCAGTACATACCAGATCCACCCCACCTCCCTATCCACCCAACTTCACATCCTTAATTTTTTTTAAAGTCCATCAAAATCAATTTGTGTTGCCCAAATACTCTTGGGTATAGGTCCATTCAACCTACCAGGAGTCACACCCTTAAAGACAACTGACTTTCTCTCTCTCTCTTTTTTTTTTGGTTTTTTTTGAGTCAGGGTCTCTCTGTAGCCCCAGCTGTCCTGGAACTCACTATGCAGACCAGGCTGGCCTTGAACTCACAGAGATCCACCTGCCTCTGCCTCCTGAGTGCTGGGATTAAAGGCATGTGCCACCACGCTGGGTGACTCTTCCTCTCTTAGCAGCAGTCTATTTAGACCCTAACTCAACCCTCCTGGCCTCAGGCCCTACTCTGAAGGGAGTGGTTTGTACAGTGAGCTGTGGGCATACATACTTAATACAGACCTGGTTTTAGATGGCTCTCTTTCTTGCATCCATTTAAGATGAATTTTGAGTCATTGTAGCTCTAGGTCCCAGCTGTACTCACTTCTGAGCCCCATGTTTATCCTGGACAGTTAAGAATATACCCAGCCATGCGTGGTGGCATACACCTTTAATCAAAGCATTTGGGAGGCAGAGGCAGGTGAATCTCTATGAGGCCAGCCATAGACAGTCCAGGCCATCCAGGGCTACATAGTTAGACCCTGTCTCAAAAAACAAAAACCAAACAAAAAGAATATAGTTATAGGGACTGGAGAAATGGCTCAACATTGAGAGCACTGGCTGTTCTTGTAGAGGTCCTAGGTTCAGTTCCAAGCACCTACATGGCAGCTAACAACCATTTATAACTCCATTTCCAGGAGATGTGATGCCCTCTTCTAGCCTGTGTGGGCATTGCACATATGTAGTGCATACATACAGGCAAAACATTCATACATAAAATATATATACTTGTGCTGGAAAAATGACTCAGCATGTAAAGGCACTTGCCACCAAGACTGGTGAACTGAGTATTATCCCTAGGACCTACATGATAGCAGGAGAGAACCAACTTCTGCACGTTATCCTCTAACCTTCATACATACGCCATAGCACATGCATGTCTCCACCCACACAAATGTTATTAAAAGAAAAAAAAAGGCTGGAAACCTGCCTCAGTGGAAAGAGCATGTAGCACGTCCTCTTTCGGCCTCTGAGGGCACCTTCACTCACAATCCTGTGAGTACACACACACACACACACAATTAAAAATAAAACCTGAAATATAAATATACCTACAGTCTCCCACAGTTTGGGGTACGACCTATCTCTAGCCATTGAGAAAAGTTAACTTTGTCCTGTAATCCTCCTGGAGGCACAGCAGCCATGTGGGGGTGATGAAGACCCAGAAGAGGTACCATAGATCTGGTGAAAGCTAGAGCACTTGTCATTAGACCTAGCTGTCCCTGGCCTACTATAACCATATTTGTCTTACATCAACAATAACCATATACCTGATAGAAGCCACACAGAGCATCCCTCTGATGACGTCTTGTGATTTGTGTGATAAATCCTACCTAAGGGACACTGGATTTCCAGACAGGATTGCAAGTCCAGCAGGGTGTGTTTGAGTTTCCAGTCCTGCTTTCGAGGGCACACAGCAGGACATGAGTAGGTTACAGACAGCCTGGGGAAAACTGGCTCTCATCTGTTGGGTTCCTGGCTGCAGGCCACGCCTACCTGCTGTGGTGGATCTGGACACGAGGGTCAGAAACTGCTCAGTTACTCCAACCTCTTAACCAGGGTTTGGCATGGATGACCAAAGGCTTTGTGTATCAAGTTCCAGTCTCTAATCCCTGTTAGAATGAGGTGGTATTTGAGATGGCAGAAGCTGGACACCCCTGCCATATGGTGCAGGCTAGGGGCCCAGAGGCCTGCCATGAAGGTTTAGGGTGCCTGTCACAGTCCTGTGTATACCAATGAATATGTAGTCAGATGCCCTCCCATGGCCTACTGAAGAGCTATTTTGAGACATAGTCTCATGTAGCCCAGGCTGGCCCTCAAATTTCCTAAGTAGCCAAGAATGACCTTGAACTTCTGAGCCCTGTGCCTCAACTTTCCAAATTCTGGGATTGCACATGTGCACCACCACAACCAGTCTATGAAGTTCTGAAAATCAAACCTGAGGCTTTGTGCATGCTGGGTAAGCACCTCCATTTTTATTTGTTTTTATTTTATGTGTATGAGTGTTATACCTACCTCTGTGTAAGTGCACCCTTGTCATACAATGTCCAAGGAGGCCAGAAGAAAGCGTTGGAGCCCCTGAAACTGCAGTTATGGATGTTGTTAGCCACCATGTGAGTGCTGGGAACTGAACTTGGTTTCTCAGCAAGATTAGCCAGTGTTCTTAACTTCTGAGCCATCTCTCCAGCCCCTATATCCCTATTTTTAAGTGTTTAGTTCACTGGCATCAGATATGACCATCACTACCATCCATCGCCATACCTTTTCTATTTCCTAAATGGAAACACTGCCTCCATTAAACAACTCCTTGTTCTCCCATTCACCACAACCACTGCTATAATCTGTGTCTGTGAATTTGGCTGCTCTGAGGAGCTTGTGTAAGTGGAATCAACCACACAGCTTTCAGCCTATAGAAGACTGGCTTATTTCACTTAGCACAGTGACCTCAAGGATCTTCCACTAGTATAGGCCAGAACTACCTGCCTTTCTCTGTTTCATTTTTCAGTGCTGAGTTTTGAATCCAAGGTCTTGAAAAGTGCTGGGCAAGGGCTCTACCACTGAGCTACTTCTCCTTTTACTTTTTTTTAAGACAGGGTCTCCCTGAAGCCCCAGCTGGCCTGGAACTTGCTATATAGACCAGGCTGGCCTTGCTCTCATAGCAATCTACCTGCCTCTGCCTCCTGAGTGCTGGGATTTAAGACATGTGCCACCATGCCTGGCCCTCTACTTCCTGTTTAAAATATTTTTTATTTACTTTTTAAAGTTTTATTTATTCTTTTTATTTTATGTGTATGCATGTAGTGCCTGCATGTAGGTAAGTGCACCCATGTTGTGCAATGCCCGAGGAGGTCAGAAGAGGCTGTCAGATCCCCTGAGACTGGAATTACGGACGGTTGTTAGCTGCCATGTGGGTGCTGGAATTCAAATCTGGGTCTTCTGCAAGAACAACCACTGTTCTTAACTGCTGAGCCATCTCTCCAGTCCCTAGTTGTTATTTTTATTTTTGTATATGGGTGTATTGCCTGCATGTATGAAAGTGCACCTGTGTCATGCAATGCCCGTGGAGGTAAGAAGAAGGCATCAAGTCCCCCTGGAACTGGAGTTATAGATCGTTGTTAGCTGCCATGTGGGTGCTGGGAATCATGGGTCCTCTGTAAGAGCAGTAGGTGCTCTTAAGCGCCGAACGATCTCTCCAGCTCCCTTTTTTAAAAAATATTTTCTACTCTGCCTCCTTTTTAAGACAGAAAACTATTCCACTGTTCGATGGACCACAGTCTTTGTTGCTCCTTTCATCCACTGACA